TATATATATATATATATATAGAGAGAGAGAGAGAGAGAGAGAGATAGATAGATAGATATTATAGTACAGTATTTAACCATTACTGAAGCTAATCTGATAGTATTTACATTAACATTTATATTTTGTTGTACATTAATTCCTTCCTCTGATTCTAGAGTCCCTATTGCTGAAATTGAGAAATGGAAAACATCATTTAACAACCTGATTAAAAATGAAGGTATGTGTCAAGATTATTTGGTTATGCAATAAAAAAAATCAACCATCCTGATCAAATCTTAGAAACTAGCATGTGTTAACAATGAACAGGCTGTAGCATAGTAATGATTTAATAAGAAAGCCTGAGATGTCTGCACTGACCCTTGTTTATTCAGTCTTGTATTTGCTGTCAAAGAGCCCTTGGCCTCATTAATGTCTCTGTTAAAGGAGAATATGTTTCTGTCAGCCTGACAGGCCATGACCGTATTTTTGTGTGCTACGTGTCTGCAGACTGTACTGGTGGCCCCTGAAGAGCTTGAGTGTTCTGCTCTGGTGGGCTACAGGGGTTATCAACCACTAGGACAGTCTTTAGAGAATTCCCCCAAACTCGAAGTCCTGACCTCTTCATTCCAAAACCTCCTCAGCATCCGCTTCCTAAAAATAATGAGTTCAGATGGAGATTTGAATGCCTTCGGGCCAGGGTTATTATAGTCACCTAAAATTAAAACAAAAAAAGAAAAAAGAAAAAAAAAACTGAAATAAATGTTAACTGAAATAAAATATAAAAAAATGTAATAGATTTTTTTTTTCAGCTAGTTTCCTAAAACTAAAATAATTAAAACTAAAACTGAAAAACATTCTACAGACATTTAAAAACAACAAAAACAAATGACAAAAACATTAAAAATGACCAAAACTTCAACTAAAATGAACATGAAATCAGAATATATAAAATAAATTTGATTTCAAAATATTATCAAAAGAAACTAGTATCTCAGTGATACTTAAATAATGCTGCTTCTGACTGTAATTTGGATATTATCTTATATTGTTGAATATATAATGCAATTTATTATTTTTTCAGTACATTGAGTCTCACTGAAATTCTTTCCTTTCAGATGGCCTGAAGGCTTTCACGTCCTTTTCACAGTCCGAGTACAGTCAAGAGAACATTGAATTCTGGGAAGCCTGTGAGGATTTCAAGCAGACATCAGTGGACAAGATGAATGTGAAAGCTAAAAAGATATTTGAGCGATACGTTGAAGTCGATTCCCCTAGTGAGGTGAGAGTGCTGCTTGACTGCAGTAGGTCTATTCCCTTATCACATATAAAATGTACTCATAAATCTCCATTATTATTATTATTTTTTAGGTGAATTTGGATTCGGCCACCAGAGAACTCACTAGAAAGAATCTGGAAAGATGTGACTCATCCAGTTTTGAGGAGGCTCAGAGCAAAATCTTCACCCTCATGGAAAAGGACTCATACAGGCGCTTCCTGAAATACAAACTGTTCCTGGAACTGTCTCGACCACTGTTGGACAACAAACCCTGTAGTTTAGAGAAGAAAGGAAAACGACACGTTTCTGACCACGGTCAGTGCTTGCCTAGTTATGCCTAACCTGAACCATCTCCTCCTAGATGAACAAAGTATATGACGAACTTTGCCATAATGTGACTTCCACTCATTTCGGCTGCCTAAGTCTTGTTCACGTTTCAGTGTAAAACGGTGGAGTTGTAACTCCAGAGCCAAACTACAAATCATTAAATGGTTCAGTCATTGTGATTGTAACACTTTTAGCTTTGCAGCAGCACTAAGAGTGTGTAGTTTCACTGCTTGAGCATGATCTAAATGGGTTTTGTGCAGGCAATGTTTTTACTGACAACAGAAATTACCCGCATCTACTCCTCAACCTTGAAATTCCATTGAATTGGCTTTGGGAAAACAATATACCTGTGACGTAGTTTAAATGACTGTTACAGACAGAAAATGTTTTTTACTTAGGATTTTTTTAAAACTCTGATGAGAATAGGACCATTAATATCACTAAAATATAACCAATTGTATTCTCTTTACTCTTGTAATGCTCTGTAATGCATATATTAACATATGTTTATGTATAAGCTCTCTCAACTTTAAAGGTGATGTACGTTCTTTCTACTTCAAATGTGAAATTTCCAGCATTTCCTTTTTCTTTTGGCCGCTCTTCAAAATCCACAAAATGACAAGTGAATGTGATAAATGTGCATGTGCAATGTATTACCTGTCACTGCAAATGATTTAGGATGCGTTCAGTAGTGAAACTGTGTCTTGGCTGTAAGGCAAACTTTACATATCAAATAACAAATGCTCCTGTTAGAATAAATTGCCAAATGTGAGTTGTTTACATATTTGTTTACTGGTTCCATCTTTATTTTTTACATATTTATGAATAAAATGACATCATAAAATAAAATTTTTGTGACCGTCTCCATCCTTTTGGTCTCCAAAATAATAATTGATCCAACAGACAACTGACAATTTGACATTTTAAAACAACATGCAATTGAAGATTCATTCTTAAGATTTTG